CACTGAATTTTACTCTACACTCTTACAAAAGATGGTTCTTCAAGGGTTCTTTGATAAAAGGAATGGTTCTATTTAAATCCACAAGTTCTGCTTAAATGCATTTGCATGGTGAAATGCTTCCTAAGAGAAGGAGAACATGCTGCGTATGGTTCTAAATGGCACCAAAAAGGGTTCTACTGTTGTTACAGTGTCAGGCTTGTGACAGTAGAAGAACCCTCTTTGGTGCTATATAGAAAAAGTATTTTTCAAAAATACATAAATAGAACCATTTCCAAACAGATTAAATAAGATGTAGATAGAAAAATATAGAAATCTATGTGGAATTTTTTTGAAAATTGTTCTATACAGTGTAGAACCATTTTCAAAAATGTTCTACATTCTTAAAAGAGATGGTTCTTCAGGGGTTCTTTAGTAAAGAAAATGGTTCTATATAGAAACACGAACACTCAAAAAAGCATTGACATGGTTGTATATGGTTCTTTGCATGGTGAAATTGTTCTTCAGATTGATGGAGCATGTGTTGCTTTTTTGAAAATGTTTCCATATAGCACAAAAAGTATTCCATTTACTGTTACAAGCTAGACGTTGTAACAATAACAGAACCTTTTTTGCTGCTATATGGAACCTTTTTTAAAAAGCTTCTGTACAGAACAATTTCCATCAATCTGAAGAACCATTTCACCATGCAAGGAACCATTTAAGCATGCAATAGTTCTATACAGAACTCATGGTTAAAAATAGAACCAATAGACCAAAGAACCCTTAAAGAACCATCTTTTTTTAAAAAGTGTTAGGTTTCCGCTCAGATTTTTTGCTTCTTGTTCCATTGACACTGAGTGCAGGAATCACGAGAAGAAGTATGACGGAGCCCATCAGCCTGTATCTTCATGTTTATTGTGCAGCGTGGTCGTTAATCTCCGTATGCCAGTCTAAAAACTATGTTCTTCCGTATGATTTCCCAGGCGTCGCGTTCAAAGGGGCTTAAAAGTGTGCCTTTCCTTACAGGCACTTCAGTTAACGTGAGCCACTCTGAGCCATGGCCAACAGGAGGATGAAGGAGATTTTGCACGGAGTCGTGATGGCACGTGTTGGGCAACTTGTGGCGGTTTTAATGAGAGAGATATTTTGTCATCACTTTACGCTTTTAGCTGCGTTTTACTAAAGCCGAGCTCCCTATTTAATATCCACCGCTCTGTCCCTTTATTAACTCTTTATCATCTTTATTAATATTAAAACGAAATAAATCCAAGCACTCAGAACGACTGTGGGGAACGACCCACACTCTACGTCACGACTGTTTTATTTATCTATTTATTATTGATTATTTACACTGTATGTATTATCGGAAGTTTGTCGTTTGTTTGGGCCTTTCCTTCCCTTCTGGAGGAGGCTGTTTCCAGGAGAGCGACTGTAGCTGGTAATTCAGGAAGCCCTAAAACCCCGAGGTGACTTTATTGAGGGGGTTTTATTGAAGCCGTCCTCCCTTAATTCGCCCGCGCTTTTAAAGCAGTCACATGTTGTTGGTGTTGGATTGGGGGGCTCGCCGCAGAGAGCGGGCTGAGCGGGCCTTGCTTGGCTGGCAGCTCTGGATTCTTGCAGTAACGGCAGCTGGTAAGATCGGGCTGAGCTCCGCGCGCGCTGAGAGAGTGCAGCCCGCGCTGAGTCCGCGCGCTGCTCTCGGCGTTGAGAGATGAAGCTGGGGAAGTTTTGCAGGACGTGTTGGTGCCGCTCAGGTTCGGCCGGTCTGAGGCGGAAAAGCTCAGCGGGGCACAGCGGGTCTGCTTGCACGCTAGCGCGCCTCCTCCTCCTCCTTCCCCTCTTTCTTCTCATTTTCTCCTCTCGGTGCGCTGCTCGCGCCGCTCCGCTACTTTTTGCTCCCGGGTTTTCGCTGTGAATGAAGTAGAGCTGCAGTTGCTTCATAGGAGAGTGAAGGCAACATTATTTAAATTAAATGATCGAGCAGAGCAGTCGATAAAAGTACATTATTATTATTATTATTATTATTATTATTATTATATACGTTAATCAGTAATATTATTAACAGCAACAAGAACAACAAAAGAATAATAACAATAACAGTAATAATGATACGATAACAATAAAATATTAATTGTTATAAGAATAATTATTACCCATATATATATATATATATATATATATATATATATATATATATATATATATATCAATGAGAAAGTATGTTGAAATTCTATAAAAAGGTATTTAAATTGTATGTAAATTTATCGTTATCGTAATTAATAATAATAATAATAATAATATCACACCTGATGATATATGCACATTCAGATCTATTATTATTTTTTACTATTATTATTATTATTATTATTATTATTATTTCTTGCTCAGTTTATATGCAGGTTTGTTACATTCGCTGCTTCATAACGTTGTATTTTAGTGTAGTTTATTCTATTCAGACCTATGACTGGAGACCTTGAAATATTTAATTTGTAATATTATTAATCATTAATATTAAATAATAAACGAATATTTTTTGCTGTTTTTTCCCCTTTTTACTCCTCTGCGTGTCTACTTTGCTGGGCAGGGTCAGGCTCGCAGGCTGCAGCGCTGATAAATCTAGCTGTTGATCATTTGATTGATTACCTGGCGCAGAGGGCGCGCGGGCGCGCGCGGTAATTTCCTGCTGCCCGCGGCACCCTTTTCACTTTCAGCCCGGCGCGAGCGGCCCGACCTTACAAATGACGGCTTTATTTTAACCCTTCGGCCGCCAGAGAGACTTCAGACGCGCAGAGGCAGCGCAGCGCAGCGCCGGAACGCATTACAGTTCAGCTCCAGCTCAAATGAAGCGAGTTAAACCGCGCCGACTCTCTCTCTGACACCCAGGATAAACACGTCATTTAACTGCGCTCACGAGAAGAACACACTGATTATTCTGACTCCTCTGCAGCCCTAATAAACCAAGCGCGCGCGTGTGTGTGTTGTAGAGAGTAAGTACGGCGGCAGTGGTGGTGAGTTACTGCGGCCAATGAATGAGAACTGTTTCCGTCTCTCTCTCTCTCTCTCTCTCTCTCTCAGTCGAGGTTGTTGGGCACTGTTTCTTTTTAAGCAATAGCTCAGACAGCCTTTTCTCCAACTTGAGCCATTACACTCAGATTATTTGAGACAAAAACCTGAAGAAATCGCCGTTATAACGTCATGGCTGAAAGATTAATCGTTTTCATATCGAATGTAATTTTTCAAATCGGCTGCGATTTTTTATTGTAATCTTGTAGTCTCTTATCAACAACGTTGATAAGTTGCAAGTTTTAAGTAAAGGAAATTTAACCCAACACCACGGGCCTTGTGAATTGCTTCTGGATGAATTCGACTAATCAGAAGCAACCAAGCGTCCATGCGCTGTGACGTCACAACCACTAATAACTGGCAGGCTGGCGCGCTGGGTAAAGCCTTCAAGCCTCAAGCCAGAAAAAGTACACGCTGGTCTTCTTAGCCCAAAAGGCCCATACCTCAATATATAGAAAACAATCGCAATTTAAATTGTAATCGCAATATGATCAGAAAAATCGCAATTAGATATTTTTCCAAAATCGTTCAGCTCCATATAACGTTTGACCAGTTAGCTCAAACACATCTCAGCTGCTCAGAGCACGAATCAGACACGCAGACACCCAACTCTGTTTTGTACTGTGAATTATAAAAGAGCTTTAATCGTTTCAAAATTATTATGGAGGAATGGAAAATCACTCTTCAGTTAATATGCGAGAGAAGTTTAAAATAAGTAAAGTTTTGTGGTGTTTATTGCTGAGAGAGAGAGAGAGAGAGAGAGAGAGAGAGGAAGCGGTCGCCCAGTTTTTATTCATGCATGAAGACGTCAGTTTCATTGGGTCCATTTTTTTCCCTCCCAGATCTTTCAGAATCGATACTGCGCGCGGGGAGCGCGCGACCTTTTAAAAGGTTCATGGACGAGGTCAGCATGATGTCACGCGCGTCTAATTAACGAGCAATTAACTTAATGACCCGCGAGGAGTCACCACGACAACAATACAAATATCTGCAGTCACCAAACTAATAACGCCAGCGCCGCATTGAACCGCATTGATGCGCTTTGATGATGAAGGACGTTAGCGAACATACAGCGACTTCTGAGAGTAAATCTTCTGAAATCACTTAAACGCAAACAAATATAATGTCCACCAAATTAAATATGTTGTTAATCCACTGAAGGTTACAAATGAGATGCCTAAAAATAAAGTTCAGTAAAAATGAATAATTCACTAAAAGTAATTTGACAGATGCAGTGTTACCAATTCAGTGCTTCAGAGAAAGTACGCGCGCGCGCACACACACACACACACAGAACCTTCTACTTGAGCCCTGACGATGAAACACATCCTCTGATCATTAAACGTTATTAGCACGAGTTATTAAATGGAGAAAATAATAAAAAACCGTTTCCAGACTTTATATTAGCAGTGATGGAATGCAGCCATTTATCGAGCTTCACTTCACACAGATTTATAATTGTCACCGCTTAGAAAAGAAAAGAAAGTCAAAGCTCTTGGTTCTGGCTGCCCACGCGCCTGCCTTTCGCGCGCGCGCGCGTGTGTGTGTGTGAGAGAGAGAGTGAGAGGAGAGAGAGAGAGAGAATGCGGGAAAGTTCTTCAGCCGTTCACCCACATTCATAACAATAGTCAAATCTCAATTAAGGCGCGTAAAGAAAGCGTTTAACGGAACCGTTTTGGCCTCAGCGATGATTAATGTCGAGCCGCGCGCGCTCCGCTTCGTCCTAATTAACGCGTCCGTCCGGTGTGGCGTGCGCGCGCGCGCGCGGGGTCGCGCTCAAAACCGTCCAGAGGCGCGTGAGATCGCCTCAAAGCTCGCTAACAGCGCGTGATAAATCTGTGCAAAACTTTTTTTTTTTGGTGCGGGGGGTGGGTGGTGGTGTGGGGCGGTGGAGGGGCTCGCTGGCGCGTGGGTCGGCACCCTCTGCGCATGTGCGAAAGGTGTCCGAAGTGACAATGCTGAAAGAGATAGCGCGGTCGGATTGAGAATCGGAGAAGGAAGAAAAAAAGTGGGGAGAAAAAGAAGAGAGAGAGAGAGAGAGAGAGAGAGGACAGAAAGATAGAAGGAAAGTAAAAAAAAAAAAGAAAGAGGAAAAAAAGAGTGAAAGCGAGGCTCGAGCAGACCCCCGCACGCGCGCCGACACACGACGGGCATCATGAGGTCCAAGAGCAGGGCGAGGAAGCTGACCACGGGTAGGTGCTTCTGCAAAAAACAGAACTCTTTTTCGTGAGTGAGTGTGTGTGCGCGCGCGTGCGCGCGTGGACGAGCCGCCGCCGCTGCCGCTGCCGCTCCATGCTCTCCTCCAAGTGGCAAAAGTTGTGCGCGCGCCGTGCGGGGAAAAAGTTGAGGAGAGTCGCGCGGTAGGGGGAGAAAAAGGAACAGCTCGCGCGCGCTTGCACTGTTTGCCTGCCTGCTGTCTGCGAGCTGCCCGGTCGCGTGAGCAGCAGAAAAGGCAGCTCGCGGAAAGGCAGGCAGGCTTGCGGGACGCGCGAGCGAGCGGAGCGCCCTTTTAAAAAATCGCGAGCAGGTAGAGATAACGGGGCCGATAAGCGAGACAACTTTTATGGCAGCCGGGAGGGAAAAAACTGATCGTGCAACAAGTGACCACGTCGTCTTATGCACATTTGTTCTGGTCGGAAAAAATGCCCGGAGATATGCATTTATTTATTTATTTATTTATTCATTTATTTATTTATTTATTAGGTTTGCCCGTGCTCACTTGTGCGTGTTTATTCTACTAGGTGTTTTTTTTATTCTGCGTGTTTATTCTTCTAATATATTTTTCTTTTTCTTTATTCTTGTAATTAATTTTCTCTGTGTTTATACTTCTGATATTTTTTCTTCTTCTAATAATTTTTCCTCCTGTTTATTATTCTGATTTTTTTTGCACGTGTTTATTCCTCTGCTTTTTGTGTGTTTGTTTGTGTTTTTAATTCTATTCTTAATTCATTTTTTACGCGCACAAACGTAACCTTATCGATTTCATTAAGGGTCGCCTGAGGCGTGCACGCTTTTGCGCGCGCGCTTTTGCCAGCACGCACCTCAAATGCGCAATCTGAACATCAAATAGTCACTGATAAGTTTTTCTCTCTCTCTCTCTCTTTCACTCTCTCTGTTATTGCTCGTTTGCTCTCGCTCCCCCGTCGCGAGCTGAGCTGATTTGGGTCGTTTTCCCTGTGCTGTGTTTTTTTTTTTTATTCCAATAAACTCTCATTATGCTCCATGGAAATTGGAGTAAATAAAGCCACATTTTCTGTGTCCACGTCCCCTATTTTCAGTGGAGCTTAAACGCCAGTTTCAATGCGCATCCTAGTTCTTTGTGGTTGGACATGCAAACTGTTACTCCGGGCTTTCCCCACACTCATTACATGCTTTAAACAGTCCGTGTGAGTCAGTCTTTTAAAACGTCCCATTTTTTATAAAATGCATGCATTTACTGGAGGAACATGAGCACTCAATGCTGATTTAGTGTAAATGTACTATTTGTGTTTTTGGGGCTAGAGAAAGTCAGTGAAGACAGAGGTTCTGAGGAAAGAGAGAGAGGGAGAGAGAGAGAGAAAGAGGATAATTTTTGCTGTTGTGAATTATAGTTTCCTTCCCCATGGACAGCGCTGTGGTCAGGAGCCCCATCAGCACAGAGACTGCTGAGGTCATCCGCTCACTACACAGCTCTCCAAGCCCCAGTGCCCTGCTATTGTGTTTGTGCGCACACCAGCAACTTGTCAAGAACACACACACCTATATATTCACATTGACACATGCATGCACACATACACACACACACATACACATACACACAATATATATTCACATTGACACATGCAAACTATATGTTCACACATACACACACAAACTATATGTTCACATTGACTCACACATGCACACTTTTGCATGCACACACACACACACATACACACACACAAACTATATGTTCACATTGACACATGCATTCCTTTGCGCACACACACACACACACACACACACACACACAATTTATTCACATTGACATGCACACTATATATCCACATTGACACATATGCACAATTTGAATGCACACACACATACATACACGCATACACACAAATATACATGCACATAGACACACACACACACACACATGCATGCACACACTAATGCACATACAAACACACATATTCATACTCACTAACGTCAGTCGCTCAGCTTTGTGTTTGCTGTGTTTATACAAGTTAAAAAAAGGGGCTGGATCTCAGTTTCAGTTGAACTATGTTCAGGTGTAAAATAGTTGTGTAAACTTGAAACAATATATCAACACATTTTTAATGCTGGTTGAACGGTTTAATGCTCTATGTGCAGTATTTAAATAGATAGATTTTAATGCTGGACGTTTAAGTGCAGTATTTAAATAGATAGATTTTAATTTTGGAGGTCCATGTGCAAGATAAAGTACAAAATTTGATGAGGTTTTTATAGCCAATCACCGCACCTTAATGCCATTATAACGTGAAAAGAAATATGAGGCCAAACTCGTGCAGACTAATCACAGGCCAGAAGGCCAACGGCTCATTGCACCTAAGCTAAATTATTGAACGTGTGGTGGGGTGGTGGTGAAGGGGGGCGCAAATAATAGGAGTGAATGATGACTTTTGGTACGGCGAGCTGCAGAAGGAGGGATTTGTTTGCGGTCACTTTGCTCCAGCAAACAGCAGCAGCGTCCCAGCAAATCACTTCACCAGGCTGCGTCCCACACAGGGGGTGAAAAAGTGAAGAGATGCATTTACTACAGTTGTCTGACAAATTGGTCTGGTGTGCATGTGTGAGAGAGAGAAAGAACATGGCCATTTGGAAGTCCAGAGCTTGGTCTTTGTGGGGCTAAAAATAAAACCCCAGAGCAAGTGAGAGTAAAAAAGAATGACCACTCTCCGCCCTCTCTCGCTCCAAAACCTCCACATCATTACTTACAATCTGAAGATCAGTAGGGTAATTTGGGGAGTATTTAGGCTGAAGATTATTATTTACCCAAGATGTAAGAGGGAGATTTTTTGTCGGGCCTATTGAGTGAAGAGGAGAGAATGTTCTGGCTTGGCTCTGGCTGTGCCCCTGCACAATGTCAACAGTGAATATTTAAATTCCCAGAGTCCTCATAACGGGACCCCGTCTGTAGCTTTGGTTGGAGAGAAGAAAAGGCGAAGGGGGGGGGGCACACCCTGTCCATGTGGCCTCGCCGCGCATCAGTCTGAGTGCATGCACCATGTTATGAGATAGTAGAGTGGCAGGAAGGTAATAAAATGTGTGTGTGTGTGTATGGTTGAGGTCCAGGGTATGCTCTGTGGATTTGGCCAGCAATGTTGGACATTTCAAACCATAAAGCCATAAAGCACCTTAGCCATGTCATGTTAGTTAAGCCACATTTCTACAAATTAATCTTAATTCATTTTACACTTATAAGCTCAACTGCACCATCATCACAAACTCACCTAAGCATCACACTGTGGATGGGTGATATGACAAAAATATAACATCACGATGCTTGCAACGCATAACATGCATTTTCACGATGCACTATATGTATCATAACATTTTGTTTTTATGAACAAGTCATACAACAAGCCACATTTAAAACTGCTATAAAAACAGATTTTCTCTTGATTTAGGGTACATGTGCTCCTTTGGATGGTATCATTGGCCTCCAAACTCATATTCTCTTGACTACAGAACAAAACGAAGTTTAAATGTAAACGACTAGAGTCTGACCGATTTATCGATTGGCCAGTAATATCAGTTGTTATTGAAAACCCACTGACAAAATCAATATTGACAAAAATATCTCTGACGATGCACCAATAATTGCTGACTTTATTGGTTATGACGTCCTGACTACAGGGTCAAAACTTTAGATATTTGTCCCACTGGAGAACCTAATGTGAGTCACAACTCATTTGAAAATATTACAGCAATACAGGCTGAAGTGGTAAATCTAAAACTAAAACATGTGAGTGCTACAATAGTTGCAATACAATAGTAACGAGAGTTTCTGCTGTTTGAGTCTAATCGTGACAGCTGAGAATCATCAGTCAGTAAAGTAATCTTAAGTACGCTTATTAAGTATAAAACTAAAATTAAATAAAAATATAAAACTATACTTGTCATTATTATTAGTTATCAAAATTTTTAGCCCCTTAAAATCAGTATCCGTGCCAGACACAGTCAGGGCCTCCTTGGGAGCCCTCAGTACATTTTCTTTTAATGAACCATGCTGTTGGTCAGTATTACTTAGGCATTGATTGTATCCACAGTATACTCAGAAAAGGATGTTAAACCGGAATCTTCTTAATTTATCCTAAAACTGCAGGGAAATGCAACTTTATCCCACATTCATCGACACAGACCTAAAGAATTTAAATATCCTGTGGGTAGAGGAGCCTAAAACCACCCTTAAATGAAAATCTGCTTACTTCAGAATTGACTCAGGTAGAAATAAAAGAAGATACCACAAAACAAACTGAGTAGAAGTAAAAATGTATCAGGTCAAAAACTCTTTGTGTTCTAGGTACCCCAACCTCTTGAAAATAAAGGTGCCAAAAGGAGTCGCTTTAAAGATTTTTGTGAAGGAAATATTTGAGTGTGAAGAACATTTTTAAAGTTTCAAGAAGTTCCACATAATGTAATGGTTCTACTCCAATTAAAGGCTTTTCCAGGCACACATGCATACATCCAAGACCCATTTAGGAACACTTATTTTAATTTCTTAGTCCAGTCTTAAAAATAAAGTTCCAAAAAATTTTGTAGTGATGCTGTAGATGAACCACTTTTGGTTCCTTCAAGAACCTTTCGAGGATGCTTCTTTAGACAACCATTTTTGCAAATGAGATGAGATGTGTGAGTGTGAAGAACCCTAAATTTCAAAGAACCACCACATATTGTGAAGGTTCTATAGACATCAAAAGCTTGTCCTAGAACTATCATTCAAGATAAATGACCATGTAAGGACCTTGTTTTTAACAGTGTACAAGGACTTAAGAACTAAATGTTAATGACTATAATTGAACTGAGGAAAAAGTAGATTCTTATCCTCAGAAATATATTAGAGTAGATGTGAAAATGGTCAAAAAAGTACAAAACTGTTCTAATTGTACTTCTGTACCTAGAACTGAATGAATGTACCTAGTTTACTACCCAGCATTATTTCCCAAAGTAGTTTTACAATTGGAGC